TCAGCACTCGAGAGGCTGAGGGAGGAGGATCCCAACTTGGAGGTCAGCCTGTGCTACAGAACAAGATCTTTTCTCTAGAAACCAAAAAGAATTATGCACTTCAGAAGAAAAAAAAAAGTCACATAAAAATCTTAAAACTACCCTTGTTTTTGAGCATCTGGTACTATAAAGCAAAATATGGATTTTTTTATTAAACCCTTTTTCCCCCATAGTATAAAAAAATTTTGAAGGGTAGTAAGGAAGCATTAAATGGATCATGGATTAATAAAAGGATAGTTAATTAACAAGGGATCAAGAATTTTAACAATGGTCAATGATTTATTGACTTAATATTTAAAAAGCAGCAGATTCCTGCATTTTGTTAATGTTTCTGTAAGAGGTTTCATCATAAAATGTAACTGTGTAAAATTATTTTTCAAATGTAAAATATAGAAAACAAAATAGCAAGCCCCAGGAAATTCTTTTGTAAATTACCCAAAGTTTACAAACAAATCCCCCTAACTTGCATTTTGTATAAAGTAATAATTTTATATTATGTAAATAAACTTCAATAATGTACTGAAAAGTACATTATTACAACAATAACTCTTTGTAAGTCAAAAATTCCTGTTTTACAAAACTGTAGTTTTAAAAAGAAAAAAATCGTAAAACTATCAATGCCATCTATTGTAGAAGTCCAACATCATGTTAAAACACTGCTCAACAATTGCAAAGGAACATGTCTGGAAGGAACATATAACTGAAAAGAAACTACTTGTGTTTTTACCACTTCACGTTATTATCATCTTTAGTATTTTCTCTTCCCAAATAGAAATTCAAACCCTCTATAATGATCTGTTCTTTGTTTTTTTTTTTTTCTTGAGGGTTTCCCTGAGTAGTTCAGGCTGGCCTTGAACTCACAGCAATCCTCTTGCCTAGCCTCTCAAGAGCTGGGATTATAGCTCTCGCCTAGCTATGATGTTCCTCTTGAGTCAGCCACTCTGTGCAGTCACCTATTGGGTTCTGCCAAAATCATTATCATCTTCAAGTGTTCTCTTCAAACTGCCTGAAACTGATGGACAAATCCAGCATCAGGATTAATACAAAGGCTTCCTTTTCAGACATAAGTAATTATGCATTTGTGCTTCATTCCAAATGTTTGCAGAAAGTATGAAAACGGACTTCTAGTAAAACAGCAGAATGGTGAGCAGTAGAGAAAGAGCCTCTCTGAGATTTGGTGTCCTGACACTGGAATACAGTGCCTCAAGGAGGAAAAGGAGGGAAGTGGGCCCCCAGGACCAAGGAAGAGTATGATGCAAAAGTCCATGGGGAGAGCGAAGAGAGAGACTTCAACAACAACGAGGAGGGTGATAACAAGCAGCATTCCTTCTCAGAGACTAGACTGTCAGCGTGGGAATGTCAGGTTGAACCTGCAGACCAGGGGTGACTCCTGGTGACCCCAGAGTCCTCCATGGAGAAACGCACCAGTGGAACTGGAACAATGGATGCAGTGGACTACAGCAGCTGGTGAGTTATCGGGATTCAGAGTTCAGCCATCACTTAGGAGTGGGAAATTGGACAGTAGCCATATTAGAGGGGCCAAATGAGCTCAAAACAGCTATAGGCAGCACTATGTAGTAGCTCCAAGTGTCTTGGGGCAGGTGCTGAGTTCAAGTCAGCAGGAGGTCAGGGAGCAGAGTTCAAGCTGGCAGGAGGAACATAGACGGTTGTAGGCTCAAGGAATCTGATTCCAGCCTCATAGCCAGAAACCGGCCTGAACTTCAGTGGAACTAAGGGGGCAGGCCAGCTGGGATTATCCACTACCCCACTGTAAAGCTATGGCTGGCTTTCTGGGATTAATCAGTTCAGCTCTGTACTCTTGTCTGCTCACTCTGCCTACCAATGACAGCAGAGACAAACCTTGAATTGAACTGTTTTTTTCTTTTCTTCCTCTTCCTCCTTTCTGGTTCTTGTTTTGTTTTTGCTTGATTATCTGAACAGTTTCTAGGTTTTTTTGTTGTTCTTTTGGTCTCTTCTTATTTCTTCCTTTTCTCTTTCCCACCTGTCTTCTTCACCAGTTTCCTAAAGTTTGTCCTCCAGGCTTGCTGCTGATCCCTTCCTCTTATGTTTCTCTGTTTTTTCCCCCTAATCCCTTTTAAATCTCCCCTAATGGTAAAACTGCCATATTAGGGCTTATTTACTGCACATAATTTTCATATTTGGTCTAGATTTTGTTATATAACCACAAATCTGGTTCATATAGTTAAAGGGAGCAAATTAATAGTTACCACAGTTTGTCATTTTCTGGGCTGTATTTGATACTGTTGTTGTTGTTGATTGTACTACTTTAGCCACAATAACATAACTGGGCTACTCAGTTGTTCCTCCTGGTATACCAAGACCGAGATGGCCTAAGCGTCTTTAAAAAACCCCAAAAAACTATAGGCCAGTGCCAAAGAACTGGTGGCTGGGCCAAGTAGGCAGAAACTTCTCATCCCCAATAAATTGAAGAGGTAGAATCGTGCAACAGACTGGAAACCTAAAAGCCAGCTACACCTGGAAGACACTTCTGAGAAGTAGTCTCAGAGGATTCTGAATACTGGCAATAGAGGGTTCTGAGCACTGGCAATAAAGCTACTTGCCATAAACAATTTACAAGCATCGTCTCAGGAATTAAACTTAAAAAAATGAGAAGACACTTAAACAAGATGCAACTTCTCCCCCCATCCCCAGACTTTCAGCTCACCAAAGGCGAACCTAGGGGGCAATGAAGTGGAACCATCTGAAAGCCACCGCCTGGACTCTCTGAAGTGGTAACAGCAAAAGTAACAAAACAGATGAACGAGGTTCTAGAAAAAAATCAAAGCAGAAATAATTTCTCAGATAACTGCAGAAATGGTGACCAGAATGTAAGACATGCTTAGTGACTCTACAGCAGATACAGATTTAAAAAAAAAAAAATAGAGGCACTCAGGAACATGATAGAAACCATGAATGCCCAGTAAAGGAAAAAAATGGAAACCCTGAGCATCCAGCATAGGAATGAAGTGGAATCTATTTACCCAGTAGAGCCAATGTGAGGACAGAATATCAGATATAGAAGACAAGATTGCAGTTAGTGGTCATGAAAAGAGAGCTCTCTTAAAAATAGCAAGGAGGTCGGGGATTTAGCTCAGCAGTGCAGCCGCCTGCCTCGCAAGCACAAAGTCATGAGTTAGATCCCTGGTACCAAAAAAAAAAGCTTTTGCACAGCAAAAGCTAACAGAATAAAGAGACAACCTATGGTGTGGGAAAAAAATATTTGCCAAAGAACTACTATCTAGAACATATGAAGAACTCAGAAAAATCAGACCCCCCCCAAATTTAAAGACCCAATCCAAAAATGGGCATCTGAAATGAACAGACACTTATCAGATGAAGAAGTAGAAATGGCAAATAAATATATGAAGAAATGTTCAACATCACTGGTCTTGGAGAGATGCAAAGTAAAACAACTCTGAGATTCCATCTCACTCCAGAAAGAATGGCTGCTATCAAGAAGTAAACCAATAACAAATGCTGTTGTGGCTGTGAGGAAAAAGGAATACTTCTTCACTGCTGGTGGGGGTGTAGACTCTTGCAGCTACTGTGGAAATCAGTGTGGAAATTCCTCAAAGAGCTAAAACTATAGTTTCTATTCGACCCAGCTATCCCTCTTCTTGGTATCTTCCCAAAAGAATCGAAAACGTTATACCACAGCGATATATGCACACCCATGTTTATAGTGGCACAGTTTGTAATAGCTAAATCTCCGAAACAGACCAAATGCCCATCAAGTGATGACTGAATAAAGAACATGTGTTTCTGTTTGTTTTTAAATTTTTTTTTTTTTGGTACTGGAGATCGAACTCAGGTCCTTGCGCTTGCACAGCAGGCAGCGAAACCACTGAGCTAAATCCCTGATCCAAAAACTTTTTTTTTTTTTTTGTACCAGGGACCGAACTTGGGACCTTGCGCTTGCGTGGCAGGTGCTGGAACCACTGAGCTAAATCCCTGGCTACTTGTGGTTTTTTTTATACAATGAAGTACTGCTCTGCCATAAAGAAGTATGAGCTTATAAAATAGCTAAATGGATGCACCTTTAGACCATACTCTTAAGTGAAATAAATCGGACACATATGTTTAAATACCACATTGTTTCTCTGTTGTGAGAAACCAAAAGTGGAAATAAGGACTAAAATGTATAATGGATATTGGGAAATAGGGAGAAAATGTTCAAATGAGAAGGAAAACAAGGGAGGGGGCAGGGGAAAGGAAGAGACAAGGGAAAAAACAGAACAGAAGGAAAAAATGGAAATAAACCTTTGTAAATAAGGAGGGAAAACCAAGTGGATAAAGAAGATATGGAGTTTTTATAAAATGGAGTACGACTCTGCTATAGAGGATGGGCTTGAGACATTCATAGCTAAATGGATGCACCTTGAGACCATACTTTTAAATGAAATAAATTGGAAACACATGTCTAAACAATGGATTGTTTCTCTGCTGTGAGAAACTGAATGTGGAAATAAGGACTGGGATGTATAATGGATGCTGGGAAATGGGAAGTGTTCAAATGGGAAGGGGAACAAGGGAGGAGGGAGGGAGAAAGGAAGGGACAAGAAAAAAAGTGAAAATAGAAGGAAAAATGGAAACAAAGCTTTTGTACATAGGGAGGGGAGAGGGCTTGGGGGGAGTGGGATACAATAAAATTTATTAATAAAAAAATGAAGGGAAGGGGGTCGAAGGGGGAGAATGGAAAAAAAGAAGCAATATATATCATGTACAGGTTCTAATTCCCTATGATGAATGTTATCCATATATATATATATATATCTAAAATGTACCAATAAACGTTTTGCTTTAAAAAAAAAGAAAAGAAAAGAAAAGAAAGAATGTATGCAACAGGAAAGGCAGCACTTCTGGAGACCCCTGAATTTCCAGACAAGAATTCCGCCCCCCCAAAAAAGAATTACAAATCACGCGTGCTGGGCCCCACTCACCGCTGTCCTCTCCGTCCAGCACTTGCTGCAACCGGGCCGTCTCGCAGTCTAGCGTGCTGGCCAGGAACCGCAGCTTCCCGCAGAACGCCTGGATCAGGTCCATGGATGAAGGCGACGGAAACAGCAGCAACACTCCAACTTCCCACCACCCCGCCACTGGTTTGAATTGGCAGGCGCCGGAAGCGCGGTGGGTCTGCGCAGGCGCAATAGTCTTCTCTCGCTATAGCTGAAGTCTCGCGCGAAGTCACCAGGAGGCTCCGCGAAGCCTGCGCTTCTGCTGACTGGAGGGACTCGGATTTTGCGGCGCGGGGCTGGTGAGTTGTGAGGTTCCTTGGGTCCGTACTCTGAAGGGCGTTAGCGGGTTCCTCACCTCCCGTGGCCGGTCTGGGCGTGGGCACGGGCGGCGCGCGTGGAGGGAGTCGGGACTGCGCCCCCAGCTCTCTGCGGCTCTGTGCTGTGCGCCCTTCTCCGCAGGCGCCATGTTCCTCACCGCTGTTCTCCGCCGCGCTCGCATCCCGGGCCGGCAGACGATCGGGAAGCACCGGCTGCCGCGGTTCGTGTCTGAGCAGGCAAAGCAGAACATGATCCGCCGCCTGGAGGTGGAGGCGGAGAACCACTACTGGCTGAGCATGCCCTACATGACCGCCGAGCAGGAACGCGGCCACGCCGCCGAGCGCCGGGCTCGGGCCTTCGAGGCCCTTAAGGCAGCACACGCGGCCAAGTTCCCCCCGCACAGGTTCGTTGCCGACCAGCTCGACCATCTCAATGTCACCAGGAAGTGGGCCTGACCCCGAGCCTTGCCCTTCGACTGTGTGGATGACGGGACTGCGCTGCCTACCTGACCTTGGAACTGAAACCAATCTCTGTACAATTGTGACTCTTGAGACCAGTGTCTTACTGAAACAAGCCAACCTGAATGCGAGGGCCTGTCTGTAGAATACCTGGGGCCGTGGAGAGTAGGAGCAGCGGCCTGTTAGGTTTCTTATTTTTGGAGCTTGATAGGAAGACATTAGGGATTTCCTGTGTCATAAATGATATAAAAATATCTGGGATGAAAGCTGCAATAAAACTGTCTATTGTGATTTCAGTTCTCTGCTTAAGTATGAAGTCGTTGATGGGAGCTTTCATTAGTATTTTACAAAAATAATTGCCAGAATTTAAATAGAAATACAAACTTTTCAAGTTCGACGTACTATTAAAAATAGAATTTCCTTCTAGGATGTCACTAAAGTGGACATTTGAGTGAAATAAAAAGTATTTATTAGAATTGTTAACATAAAAGATATTTATTTTGTAATTTAACATACTGTAATATTCACCAGTTGAGTGCATTTCACCAGTTGAGTGTAATATTCACCAGTTGAGTGCTTTTTGCCAGTAGTGGTGGCCCACACCTGAAGTCCCAGCATTGAAGGCTGAGGCAGGGGGAGTATGGTGAGTTCAAGACCAGTCTGGGCTACATAGCAAGACCTTGTCTCAAAGACCAAACAATAAATAAAATAACCTTTTTCCAGATATAATAAAGATAGCCAGGCACTTAGTGTTACCAATCACAGCACCCTATATAGTTGGCACTATTGTATATATGAGGAAGTACGGAACTTGTGCAAAGCAGAAATCTTTTTAACTGCTATACATTTAATAGGAAATTGTTTTGGGGACAGGGTCTCACCATATTTCAGGCTGGCCTCGAATCTATGGCAATCCTCCTGGCTCAGCCTCCCAAGTGCTGGCACTACAACCATGCACCTTGCTGGGATCATTTAATAGGACATTTGCAAAGCACATAGAAAAAAATCCCATTACCCATTCTTGAGATGATCTTCATACTGTATTTTTTTGGTCTCATATACATAGATTTTGAACAGGTAATGAGAACATAGATAAATGGAATTTAGAGCCAAAAACTCTTAACATTTAAATATCCTGATGCCAAGTGGCTGTCAAGAAAGAACAAACTCCAAGACTGATGTGTGAGTGCCCATCTTATTGTCCAGCACTGAACTAACCAGAAATACCATATTTTGCTAATTAGCTAATTCCCAGCTTAATAACTGCCATTAGTGTGTATAGGCTGTGGAGACACTGATTGTTTTTCTCATTGCACTTAACAGTTCTTTAGGGATTTCATAGTTGAATGTTTAACCAAACTGAACTATTAACATTTCGTATTCTTGCTATATAAATACTTGAATGCTTTTCACCGCTCATAGAAGTATCTCTTGTGCGTAGGGGCAGTCTGATATCCTGAACTTACATTTTCATGCCAGGAGATAGTGGTAGCTCAAGCAGTTTACCACAGCTGGTACTTAAGTTATTCTTACCTATATATAGGTCAGAAACCTTTGACTTTGAAGTTTGAGAAATGATTATGGTTAACTTGAATTTCAGAAGATACTTGGAAAGCAAAATAAAACCTTGGTCTTGTAGAGATGGGAGACAACTCAGTAGGCTTTTTTGTTTGTTTTTTGAGACAGGGTCATGTCATGTAGTACAGGCTGGCCTCATACAGTAATCCTGCCTCTGCCACCTTAGTGCTGGGCTTATAAGCATGCACCACCACGTCCTGTCGAGTAGGCATTTTATAATTTTAAAAACAATCTTCTGAAATACATATCCTCAGTATACAGATGTGAAACAGAAGCTCCAAGTCCACACTGCTATTAAACAGCAAAGGTAGAATTCAGGACTAGATTTATGTAAAAACTAATATAAGACACTAGGTAGTAAAAGTAAACAATTGTAGCTGTACTCACTTTTTAGCCAAGGCAGTGCTGTTGAACATTTGACTTTTCTCCTTGAAAAACTCATCATAGCCATCACAGAGTTACTAATCTTTTTTACTAACATGCAAAGGCTCATTGCCACTGAAATCTTCATAATCACACATGTAATACAATACAATCTCAGGCTTAGGATGGTTTAACAGTTTTTTAAGTTTTGTGATGGTGTGGAGTCTATGCACAGTAGAAACTACTTCCAGTTTTGAATTTTGAGCTTTTCCTGGGCTAGTGATACATGGTACAATCCTTTCATGATGCTGGGCAGTGGCAGTAAGCTGCAACTTTTCAGCCATCAGATCAGCAAGGGAAACCAACACTAATATACCAAGTGCTATGGCTGGTAGGGTAGGTGATTTAGATGTGTTTTGCATTGTATTTGTACTCTATGATGGGTTTACTGGGACATGATCCCATGGTAAATCAAGGAGTGTATGTGTTTATGCCAGCCTGTGCATTATCAACAGTTCCTGGTTGATATCTGTCATATAGCTTTTGAGACTCCATGTCATCCAGTTGTTGAATCAGGAAAGGGCCATTTCTCAATCTTGGCTGAGCAGGGAGGAAAGCTGTAGGAAAGTTTCAGAAGAGGCAGTGCTGTAGCAAATTCCTAGTTTGCCTGGGGTGCAAGTAGGTGGCGGAATTAGGTAGAGAACAGCCTTGTGATTGTTGAGGGAATTGTCAGTATTTGAGTATTGCTGCAGTGTAGGATTCTTGTGGGTGGGGAAGAAATGCTAGAAGAGGCAGAAGAAGTAGGGATAAAACATGAAAAATCTTGCATAACACAGATATTTGGCTTCCATTATGTAATTGGTGAGGAGCTATCGAAAATGTTTAGTGAATTCCGGGGATTTAGCTCAGTGGTTTCGCCGCCTGCTGCACAAGTGCAAGGACACAAGTTCGATCCCCGTACCAAAAAAAAAAAATGTTTAGTGATATAATGAAAAGTATTATGGAATATGGCTTGGTGGAGGGAAAGACTGGAAATAGACTAGGTGGCTATTGCAGTAGTCCAGCCAGGTACTGAATGTGTGGTTAGAGTCGAAAGGGATTAAGAGGTAGAATTAACAAGTTGGTGAGCAATCAGATGACTCCTAATTTTCTGACGGAGCACAGATGGAGGGTTCATTATGATTTAGTGAGGATAAAACAGTTACCTTCAGTGACTGTGGCTTACTCTTCAGTGTATTCGTTTGGAAATCCCGAGTGAGCTCTACCATTTGCTTTTCCTTTGTTTGAAACCAACCTCATTGCTGAATAATGCCAGAGAAACACATAATTAGGGTTATTGCTGTTTAAATTTATGACCGCAAACCTCAACCCAGAACTCAATACTGCCCAGTAACATTACCACATCTATTAGCTTGCTAAGGCTGTGTCGCAGTCACGTTTGTCACTGCTGGAACAAAATACCTGACACCCACAACATACAAGAGAGGTTTATTTTGACTCATGGTCACATTCCAGCTGGCTTCAAGGCAGAAATGGTATAGTGGAAGAGTCTGGCAAAGGAAAGCTGCTCACGTTATGGTGGCCAGGAAATAAGGGAGGAGCCAGGGAGAGAGACCTATTCTGGGCCCAGCCCCAGTACCCAGGCCCCCCTCCTAATACCGAGTCAGCTGTGAAGTCATCAGTGATGGATACAGTGCATCCATAACCCAGTCACTTCCCAGATACCTAAGACTTTTGGGGGACACCCAAGATCTAAACCTTAACAGGGTGTCATACCAACACACTACAACCTGGGTGGTTTTAAAACAAAAATTTATATTCTCACCATTCTAGAGTTCTAGAAATACAAGATGGAGGGGTGGACAGGACTGGTTTTCTCTGAGGGTAATAGAAAAACTGTTACAGACCACTCTTGTCTTCACATGGTTGTTCCTCTGTACATGTATATGTCTAGTGCAGTGGTAGCGAACATATGGCATGAGCTGTATCATTGAAAGCTCTAAAAATTTCACCATAACCGGTCTACTGTCCATTTGTTTCCATATTTCCTCTTAAAAAGATACCAGCCATATTGGGTTAGGGCCTATCCTAACCCTAACCCTGTCCTAACTACCCATTTAATTACTGCCTTTAAAGATCTTATCTCCAAATTTGGTCAGATTCTTGAGATATTGGGCTTTAGGACCATAATATGAATTGCTTTCAGTTTCTTTTTATGAATGAAGCTGTTAGCCTCTATATGAATAAATGCTTTCATTATTTTCCTGGTAACAACTTTGGACTACAATTTCTGGGTTACTTGGTAAGTGTATATGTGACTGTGTGTGTGTGTGTGTGTGTGTGTGTGTGTGTGCTTGATTGAACCCAGGACCTCACATACTCTAGGCAAACACTCTTTATCACTGAGTTACATCCCAGCCTCATATTTGACTTAAGAATTTACCAAACTTTTTCCAAGAGATTTTATTCTTTTACATTCCCACCCAAAATATATAAAACTTCCAGTGCTCTGAATCCTCTGCAACATGTGGTATTATCAGGGTCTTAAATTTCAGTCCTTTCATTAATTGGTTTTTTTCCCCATTAAGTTTATTGGTCCATTTTAGGTATACAATACAGTTACATTCACCACTGGGATCTTGTACCTTTACACGATGCATCTTGATTCTTATTTTTTCCCCTTCCCCTGTCCTCCCTTCACCCCCTCCACCCTTCCCTATTTACAAATAATTTGTTTCCATGTTTTTCCTTTTCTCATTTTTTCTTTTCCCTTCTTTCCTTTCCCTTCCCCCTCCCACTTCCCTTACCCCTTTAGACCTTTTCTTCCTATTTCACAACATCAATTATACATTTTGATCCTTATTTACATTTTTAGTTTTTCACACCAGAGAAACTATTCAGTATTTACACATGTGTGTCCTATTTATTTCACTGAAGGGTATGGCCTCAATGTGCATCCACTGAGCTATAAATGTCTCTACTTTCTTGTTCTTTATGGCTGAGTAGTACTCCATTTTATTAAAGAAAAAACAAACACATTTTCTTTATCCAGTCTCCAG